GGCTAGATGGGCAGGTAAGTTGAAATTGGACTGAGGGCTCCTGGAGTTGTGGTTAACCAGCCCTTTGCCAAGGATCTGGGACTGGTGACTGTACCTTTTTCCCCCACAGCTTTGCAAAGGACCTGTACAGTATTACAGTTTGAGACTCTGGGGACCTGCTTGGTGTAGTGGAATTAGGTGGCTCTGTCTTGTATTCAGCTGGTCTTTGTTTGATCCTAGTGGATCAGTGACTCTGGGTCACTGTCCCAGCTGTGGAGAAATACAAGCAACTAAGACACCCTGTCCTCCCACAGGCAACAACTGGAAGAGGAAAATCAACACTTCCCACTACTACACAACCAGCGTACCACCTTGGAGGGTCCTCGGGTGATTGGTCCAGGTCAGGAGTTCCAAACCAATTGTCCCAGTCAGTACCAACTCTCAAGTGGGAGAGTTCGAAAGGTCTCTAGCAACTAGATAGCAGAGGCTACTGACTGCTCAAGTGTGACTCTCTCTGGTGCTCTGTGGAGTGAGAAAGGCCCACCCAATAGCAGAGTTGGACCGGGGGCTAGTGTCTCTTTCCCCACCTTGCACCTCTTTCACACCCTGTCACTGGTAACCTCACAGGGTTGTGGTCCTGTTCCCTCCAATAAGCAGATGTGCCAGGGCTTTGCACCTGCCAGAGTCAAAGGAAAGTCATTGCCCACTCAGCTGGGCCACCACCATTTGGCTGGGGGAGCTGAAGCCTGCCTGCCTCAGGTACTCAGTGGTGACTGGAGAATGTTCCACCTAAGCTTTTCTGCTGATTCTGCCCCATGATTATTTTTCACTGTTTTGCTAGATGGGCAGCATGTTTTTCTCCCTCAGCCACTGCGCCTTTGCCTCATCACTCTGTAGTACTGGTATCCCTATAGGGCAAGGTCTGGCTTCCTCTGGCAGTCCTCAGATTTGGGGAAGTGTCTCCCCAAAATTAGACCCCAGCGTGATCACTCTACTATTGCTGAATCTTCTTGGGAGGTTTCCCTATGCGGTTCCCAGGGGCCGCTGGGACAGAGGCTTGAGCAGTGGCTCCAGGAGCATGTGGCATGGTGGCTCTGGGAGCTCGGGGCATGGCAACTCTGGCAGGGTGGGTGTGAGGGGGGCTTTGGCAGAGTGGAGCACGTGGATTGCAAGCTTCTTCCCACAGCTGCTTTGCACTTTCCTAGAGCCAACCCCAACAGCCTCCACCTCTTTGTCTGTCTGCAGTACTGCTAGGAAGTAGTTACAGTGCAGCTTTACAGTGCAATTACAGTGTTACAGTGCAGCTTTTCTACCATGGCCCCTACAGTGCCCAGTCTTGGCAATGAACTGCAGACATTCCAGTCTCTGCAGGGCTTAGACTTCTGGACCATCAGGCGAGGGGGCAAGAGTGTAATGGAAGTTCAAAATGGCAAGGAAAATATTAGTTCAACTTTCATGCCTGGCAAGAAAGTGCTCAGGGTCACAGCAGGGTGCGTCTGGAGAAGTAGTCCTCACTTCTAGCTACTCTCTCCTATGGGGTGAGACAAGAGGTCTTCAGTTGACTATTTGCCTATAGAAAACCCACAGTGAGCAAAAACAAAACTACCTCTCTTGGGGGAAGGGACAGACACTCTTTTTATTTGGGATGAGTTTTGTACCTGAAATTTGCTTTCTTGGAGTCGCAGTTTGCCTCAACAGAGGTGACCTGCAGTTATCACTCTTCTCTCTCAGCTCGGCTCCCAGTCTTCAGCTTTATTGGGTACTTTCTGGTCATTATTTTTTCCTCTGGAGAAGAACTTCTGTTGAAAGCTGGCTCTAGTTGGCCATCTTGCCCCTCCCCATATACGCAGTTTTGTTAGGAAGAAATGTTCTGTATGTGTCTGTTAAGTGCATTTGTTCTAGGGTCTTGTTTAAGTTCATTGCTTCTTTGTTTAGTTTCTGCTTGGAGAATCTGTCCAGTTCTGTCAAAGGAGTGTTGAAATCACCAGCTATTATGGAGTTGGAGGATATATTGTTGAGGATTTCACTTCTTTTAAATTTATTAAGACTTATTTCTTTTGCCTGTCATAGGTTAGTCTTGCAAAATGTTCCACATACACTTGATAAGAATGTGTATTCTGCTATTCTTGGAGTGTTGTATAGGTGGATGTCAATTTGATCAAATCAGTTTATAGTATTGTTCAAGTCTTCTTTTGTTAATGTTCTAATTGTCCTATCAATTATTAAAGTAAGATATTAAAGTCTCTAACTGTTGTCATTCAATTGTCTTTTTCTTCAGTTCTGTCAGGTTTTACTTAATGTATTTTGGGGTTCTTTTGTTAGGTATGTGCATTTTTGTAATTGTTTCATCATTATCATTACCAAATATCCTTCATTGTCTGTAATAAAAATTCTTGTCTTAATATCTGTTTTGTCTGACAGCAGTAGTAAAGGAACTCCAGCTATCTTTTGTTACTATTTGCATTGTATGTCTCTTTAAATCCTTTTACGTCCAAGCTATCCATTTATATTTAATGTGATTATTGATAAGATAGGATTTTTTTTTCACGTCACAAATATATCTAATAGGTGCCCAGCACCTATGATAAGATAGGATTTATGTCTGCCGTTTTACAGTTGTTTTCTGTTTTATGTCTTTTTCCCCTCTGCTTCTCTATTTTTTAATTAATTTCTTAGCACCCTAGTTTATAATCATCTAGTTTGGATTAATAACAGCTGAATTTCAACTTGATTTATGTAGTTGTCTTCAAATCAGATAAGAGGAAAAGAATTACTAACAAAAAATATGCTTATACCTAAAACAATTTGTCTATATAGTTGCTTTCACTGGTTCCTTGTATTTCATGTGGCTCTGAGTTATTGTCTGGGACTCTTTCATCAGCCTGGCAGACGACTTTCAGTATTTCCTGTGGGGTAGGTGTGCTAGTGACACACTTTTTCCGTGTCCTTTTATCTGGAAATCTCTTAATTTCTCTTTTATTTTTGAATGATAGTTTTACTAATTATAGAATTTTTGGTCGACTCTTGTGTCCTTTTAGCACTTTGAATGTTGTCCCTTTGCCTTCTGGCTTCTATCGTTTCTGATGAGAAATGAGCTATTGATCCTATAGAGCTTCCCTCATATGTGAGGTGTTGCTGCTCTCTTCCTGCTTTCAAGATTCTTGTGCCTTGGTGTGATCTTTTGAGTTTATCCTACTTGGAATTTGTCAAGTTTCTTGGATGTGTAAGTTAATGCTTTTCGTCAAATCAGGAAAGTTTTTGTTCATTGTTTCTTCAAATACGTCCCCCTTTTCTTTCTCTTCACTTCCTGGGAAATTGATTATGTGGATACGTTTGATAGTCCCACAGTTCTTCGAGGCCCTGTTCATTTTTCTTCATAATTTCTAATTTCTATTCTTCAGACTGAATAATCTCATTTGATTTATTATTAAGTTCAATGATTCTTTGTATTTTCCCTGCTTAGATCAGCTATTAGTTCCTCTAGGGAATTTACATTGTAGTTGTACTTTACCACTCCAGAATTTCTATTTTTTCTTTAAATAATTTGTATCTGCATTATGTATTTGATTAGACATAATTCCCATGGTTCTTTAGACATAGTTCCTTAAGTTCTTTGTATGGATTTAAATTTGCCAGTTCAACATTTCTGTCTAGTTAGTCCAATGTCTAGACTTCCTTGGGGAAAATTTCTATTGTCTTTTTCCTATGTATAGGCCATACTTTCTTAATCCTTTGCATATCTCTTTTTTGTTGTTGTTGAAGACTGGACATTTTAAATAATACAATGTGGCAACTCTGGAAATGAGATTCTTCTCCCCAGGGTTTGTTGTTGTTGCTGCTGCTGTTCATTGACTTTTCTGAATGAATTCTATAAGGGTACACAATTTATTGTACATGGCCATGGAAATCTCTGAATGAATTCTATAAGGGTACACAATTTATTGTACATGGCCATGGAAATCTCTGAATGAATTCTATAAGGGTACACAATTTATTGTACATGGCCATGGAAATCTCTTCTTAGTGGTCAGCTAATGATTGGTTATAGATTTTCCTTAAGCCCATTTCACTAACGAGTAGGTCTTGCAGTTGTTGACCAAGGGACTCTGTGTGTATGTTGGGGCGCACTGCATTTAGCCTTTAACTCCTGCTTGTGCACAGCCACTAGAGAAGCCAAATTTGGGTCCTTTCAGGTATTCCCTGAGTGTGTGCCCAGTCCTGGGCATGAGCACTGCCCTCTCCATGAGTGGTCTTCTGGATTCCCAGGAGCATATGGGAACTTTTCAAAAGTCCTGTAGTTATCGCATTCCCTAGCTTTTCCTTTTAAGACTTTTCTTTAGTCTCTTATTTGCCCCTTTGTTACTCACCATGCCTATAATTGTTTTTGACTAACTTCCCCCAGGGCCAAGGATTTTTGAACTAAGTGAACTACAAGTGGGGTGAAATGCAGTGTCCTATAAGAAGGTCTTCCTGGGAAACCTAGAAGTGCCAAATAATAATTCTCCGGGAATGGGGATTTGAAAGAGCTCCAGCCCCATTCTGCACCCTCCAGGCTGGTTGCTGTCACCACAGTTGTGGGCTGTTCATTTTCAAGCAGAACTGGAGAGTAGGCAGTGGGACTGAGGAAAGTTCCAATGTTACCAGCATCATGGATGTTATAATGTCATCCTTCTTTGTGAGATTCCTTAGTTTTTCTTGAATGGATACTTCCCAGCCTTTGATTAATTTCTAGAGTTCTGAAAAGTTGATTATGACAGTTTTTGCTGGTTATCTTGTTGCTTTTATGGAGGAAAGAATTTTCAAAGTTTTGCCATCTTCAATTCATGTATGTTTACTGCTTTCTTCTGTATATATGTTTTTTCTTAGACTTGCACATACTAAACAACACACTGCTGTAAATTGTGGAGGCAGGAGCTGAGTGAAGTTTGTGGGCTGGATGGGAGTCTGAGGGGGCCTTAGGTGTCTGGCTTCATGGAGTCAGAAACTCAGCCTCACAGTCTTATTGCTTTGTGTTTTCCCAGGCTTGGGCTATTACATGCTCAGTTGTCTTAAGATGGATGGGACAGAGACCCGACAGCGGAGGCCAGATGACTGTGGCAGGCCGCAGGAGCTGGGACTGTCACTCCCCCTCAGCATAGCAAGACTCCTTGCAGCCCCAGAGGGTACACCTCTGACAGTCTTCAAGAGCCAAAGGGTGGCCCCCAAACCACTGGAGACTGATTACAGCAAGGAGACTGCCTTGTCCATGGGCCTCCAGGTGGCTGTGCCCTTTGTGTTTGCAGGCCTAGGGTTGTCCTGGGCTGGCATGCTTTTGAACTATTTCCAGGTAAGAGGGAACTAAATGGGGACTTGGTAAAGGGACATTGTCTAATATTGCCTGAAGAATAGGCAGCTGCCTATCAGGTCCAACGTAATGGACGTGGTGCATGCCTTCTCAGATACTGTTTTTTCTGTATATTGAGTAGTAGTCTTCAGTTACTAGTGGCGGAGACTGAGTTTAACCCAAGTTAAGCTTCAAAAGATTTATTTTTCTAAAAGATATTTTATTAGCTCATATAATTGAAATATGTGAGGATGAGTTGGATTTCAGACACAGTGTGATATCATTGTACAGATATACCAAAATTTATTTAATCATATCCCTTTTGATGTACTTTAAAGTTTGACACTAGCATCAGTCAGCGTGGGCTGTCATAACAAAGTAACATAGACGGGGGGGGGGGCGGCCAGAGCTGGACCCACAGAAACTTATTTTCTCAGATTCTGGAGGAAGTTCCAGATCAGTTGTCAGCAGGGTTGGTTCCTTCTGAGGCCTCTCTCATGTCCTCTCCTGGTTTTCCTTCTCTCTCTGTGTGTCTGCATCCTATCTCCTTTTAATAAGGCCATTAGTCGCATTGGATTAGGGTCACCCTAATGAACTCAATTTAATTACTTGTTAAAAACCTGTCTCCAAAAACAGTCAGATTCTGTGCTGGGTGTTAGGACTTTTCTTTCTTTTTTTTTTTTGAGACAGAGTGTCACTTTGTAGCCCTTGGTAGAGTGCCATGGCCTTACAGTTCATAGCAACCCCAAACTCTTGGGCTCAAGCAATTCTCTTACCTCAGCTCCTAAGTAGCTGGGACTACAGGCTCCTGCCACAACACCCAGCTATTTTTAGAGATGAGGTCAGGCTCTGGCCTGGCTGGTCTTGAACCTGTGAGCTCAGGCAATCTACCCACTTCAGCCTCCCAAGAGCTAGGATTACAGGTGTGCACCACTGAGCCCGGCACTGGGTGTTAGGACTTAAGGATGAGAATTTGGAGGGGAACATAATTCTGCCCATAACAACAACAATATTAGTAACAAATGCTGTAACAAGTAATCTTGACATACATCATTTATACATGTCTGAGTAAATCAATAGGAGAGATTGTTGCAAATGGAATTGCTTGGCCAAAGAGTATGGCACTCATGACTTTGACAGACATTACCAAGTCACTACCTGGCAATATGACTGTGACATTTGCTCCAGAACAGCTGGGGCATGCTTGTTCCTGACATTCATCTACATGGTTTATTTTCAACCTTTCTGACCTTTAACAAGCTGCTGGATGGAAGACTATACCTTGTACTGATTTCTATCACTGCTAAAAGAAGCTGCAGTAATGTGTGTTTACTGTCTTGTGGTTGCTCTGGGCCAGGAATCCAGCCAGAATTTGCTGAGTTTTCTGCTTCAAGGTCCTTCTGAGGCTGCAGTTGCTGCCCACGCTCACTCACATGGTCACACTTTGTTGGATGTGGGTCTCAGTTCTCACTCGTGTTCCCAGGGGCTGCCCTCAGTGCTCCTCATGTAAATGTCCCTAGCACAGCAGCCGTTTCTGAGAAGAAAATAGCCTCCCTGCAAGACGGAAATCATGGTCTCTTGTAACTACTCACTGCAATGGAGTCCCGTCGATCACTTCTGTTATAGCAGATGCTGGGTTTGCCCACTCTCCCCAGGAAGTGGCAGCACAGGCATATCACGCAGAGGTAGGACCAGTGGTGGCCATCCCAAAGGTTGCTGCTGCTACCTGCTGCAGTGTCCCTTGCATTTTTTTTGTTTTTTGGCCAGGGCTGGGTTTGAACCAGACACTTCCGGCATATGGGGCCGGTGCCCTACTCCTTTGAGCCACAGGCACCACTCAGCCCCTCGCATTTTTTACTGTGAGTGAGGTTGAGAGTGTTAGGGAAATTGATTCTTGTGCTATGGACTGTAAACATATTTCTCAGTTTTCCCATTCATCTTTTGACTTTGCTTTTGGTGGTTTCTTATTGTGAATTCACTTTTTTGGTAGATTTACCTTTCTTCTCTAAGATAAATCTAATATTTATCTTTTCTAAAACTCTTAACCTGTGTCCTTAGAAACAGGTGCTGTCTGTCCTGTAAGTCCCCACTCCCAAGTGGCTGCACAGGGCAGCATGCGTCGGGGCAGGGATGTGTTCACAGAAGGAAGGGGAGACTTTGCTCTGCCACAAGCCTGCTCACTCTGCATGGCGTATGTCAGAAGTGCTAGGTGGCTGTCCACAGACAACGTGCTGTTCTGCAGAGGGGCTTGTTGAGTCAGGTAATGTTCATTTAGTTAGTGCAAACATTCACTAAAATGGAAACTCTTCATTAGAAGTCCATTCAGCTCCTTTTAACATCAGAAGATCTGGTCACACTTGGTCCATGTGTCAGTTTTCTTTTGCTCTATTACAAATTATCACACATTTAGCAGCTTAAAATAGTGCCCATTGCTTAACTCAACAGTTCTGTCTGTTGTAAGTGCAGGCCTGCTGCAGCGAGGGTCTGTGCTCAAGGTTCTTGAAGACTAAGGTCCAGGTGCTGGCCAGGTGAGTTCTCTTTCTGAGCTGCTAGGGGAAAACCCAGTCTCAAGTTCATTCTTGTCAGAACTTACCTCCTGTGGTTATAGTCTTCATTTCAGTAGTACTGCTGGCTCCTAGCCAGGGGCATGGCATCTTGAGGGCAGGCCTGTTTATTGCCTCCTGGCCCTTCTATCTCCAAAGTAGAGCAGTGTGGAATCTCTTCACTCCTTCACCTCTGACTTCAGGCAGTTCCTGCTCCTAATAAGAGCTTGCTGGATTAGGCTAGGCTCACCCAAGTTAATACCCTTTCTGAAAGTTGGACAGAATTACCCACTGGAATGCATGGAGCAGGCAGAAATGTGAAGACTCTCCAGAAAATGAGAAGGGGTAGCCTCCTCCTGGTTCAGACTCTCACTGGAACAATAGATCTTCCCAGCCATGGAAGCCAGGCAGTAGTGGCCTGGGCAGGTGGGAGTGGGGGTGGAGGTGGGTGGAGAGCCTGGGTCTCTGGCCTGCTCTGACACTGACCTTGGGGAAACCCTGTGAGGGCCTGCCTCTCCTTATTTGCACAAATGGAGTGCTGTGCCGCCCATGTTGCTCTTGTAGCTAGGGATATTTTGAGAGCTCCGTGTTTGACTGAATGTAAATGGGCTGTGAGAAATATGAACTGCTACTCCAGAGACACTGCTGATCCTTCACTGCTTCCTTCTCTCTTAGGCTGTTGCGTGTGTGCATGTGTTTCACCTGCTCTGTGCTCACATCCTGCCTTGGGTTTTGTACCCCCATCTTAGATCATAATTACACTTTTGGTTTTGTTGTTATCTATTAAACTAGAAAACTCCAAACACATCTGTCTGGCTTACAGGTTTACCCTGGCATTTGTACCAGCGTCCTACCTGTGAGGTAAAGTCATGAATCACCCCCAAAGGTCCTGGTAGTGTATAGAGGCTAGCCCCACACAACTGGTGGATATCCCCAATGCTTGATGGTGACAAGAGAATGAAAGAAATAAAGACAAGAGACAAAATAGGATTTAAAAAGAGTGGACCCAGGGGACCATCACCACCTAATGCAAGGAATAGCAAAGGCCCTTTATCCAGGTTAACTCCGTATTTATTACCTACATTATTTTCAAATGAGCAAATCAGTAGTCATGAAAGAAGTCAAAAACAGCACATCATCATTCTCAAAGTACTTTCAGCTAAACCACTGTTTTACTCACTTTTATAACTACTCCACCCTAAGCTATTTATAAACTAAGAAACTGGGATGCAGTTCATACATCATGGAACAAGAACTTAGGAGCAGGATTCTAGAGCAGACAGCTAGATTGATCATGCACACAGTTTTCACAGAAGGCAATTAAGTCTCTAGATCCCTGCTGGCAGACAGGCTAACGCTGTACCTATATTGGGAGTGGGGGAGAAAGAAGTTCTTTTCTTAACCTGAAGAGATTGTTTCTCTTTTATGAGAACCTGAAGCTCCCGGCACGTTTTGCACTGGCTTGGTGCCACAGGCTTTCTGGGGTGGGGGGAAGAGTGAGTCAGGCCTCAGTAAGACATTTCTTGTCTTTTCTTCCAAGGCCTGTGCTGCTGTTGTTCACCAGACTTGGGGCTCCCCGTGCTCATTGTGGTCTCTCTGTGTACATAATATCTTTGTTACCCATGTCTTCTATTTTTCCTTTATCCTATTGCTCATAATCCGCATCCCCTACCTGATTCTTATCAACAAAAACGTTTCATAAAAATCCAATTTATATAAGTACTTCCAAAGTGTGCCTCTTCTGCCTCAAATCCCTCAGCCTTGCTTTCCCACATTTCCACCCACACAGTGAGTTGCAGCTCTATTCCCAGCAGGAACATGCTCTGGGGAGGGAGGGTGACACACCTGCAGCCTGTGCTTCTGTTGGGCATCAGTGGGACATGCCTGTGGAGAGACTCAGAATAAGTGTGCCAGGAATTGTGGGGAGAGAGTCACTAGGCTCTGGCTGGGAAGCTGGAAGACTCAAGATGAGCACCCCCTCCTTACTCCCAGGCCTGATGAGAGTTGGTGCTTCATTTGACAATTCCGTGGTCTGCAGAAAAACACAGTCCTGGCTCATGTAGGCAGCAGAGAATTTTCTTTGACTGCATACTAGAAGGAGAGCAGCTTGAATGAATGTGTCTTCCCAGACTGCAAAGGGCCCAGAATGCCTGTCTCTCGGGTCAGTGAGCTGACAGCTACTGAGGATATTGGGGTAAGTGAATTCCTTATGTATGAGTTGTGCTTGTGAAGTGTGTATGAGCTTTTGCAGGAGATACTTTAGAGCTCATCAGGGTCATGGTAAGAGTGGTGTTTGTGGACTGGAGCAGGGTAATAGCTGTGGGACAGACTTGGGGACAGGCAGGTTGGATGGGGGTCAAAGTGGCCAGGGCCAGAGGAAGGCTTAGTTTCTGGCAGAACCATTTGGGAACATGCAGCTGTGGAGAGGTGAGAGTGGAGGAAACAGCTGGGATTTGCCTG